ATTGACAAAACCTTCATATTTAATCCCATTCCCCAAAATTCTCTCCCACTGTTCTGTGAAAAATATTCAGTCTAGGCTCTATACCTTAATGAAAGTTTTATTTTCTTTGACACACCTCCCCCTTTATAGCTGATCAATTTATATCTTTCTTTCAAGCATCAGTGCCCCGTCCTGCATGAACCCTTACCTCCTATATTCAATCATTCCTATCTTGTGCTAAAGTTAGCATTCAAAGAAATCCTGCTAAAAATTTGTACTTCTAATACAAGTAAATAATGTAAGAATTCATGAATGTTAGGAGCTTACTTGTGTCAGTGCCCCTAAGTCATGAAACAACACACTTGGCTACTAACCAAAAGACTGAAGGTTCAGGTCCACTCAACAGTACCTGGATTGGGGGGCAGGGAATGGTAGTGGAAAGAGGCCTGGAAACCTCCTTGAGAAAAATCAACCATTGAAAATCCCATGGAGCCCACAAGATTATGGTCTTTAGTCACTCTTCAGGTCTGGAAATGAACTCACCTCCATGGTTCAATATTTCAGCTACACAACAGACAGGTCTCCAAGGGAACTGGCACTGGAAAATAAGCACTGGACTGCTCACCACAAGGTTGGTAGTTCAAACTCACCAATCGCTCCTAGGAAACCCTATACAGGGTCACTATGAGCTGGAACCAAATACACACACACAGAGAGAGAAACCATGACACTAAGGAGTTACACTCACCTTAGTAAAATCAACCATTGGAGATCAAGAGGGTAGCATTTACCCAAGGGCAAAATTCAGGATTAGAAAAGAATGAATATTAACAGGAAACACAGAAGATATGGGATAAGTGATTACAATCAACATGAGATGAAACAAAACATAAGTGAATTTTATATGAAACTGATCTGCTCTGAAACCATTACCAAATTCACAATAAAAAGAAAATCCTATGCTGTGCAGCTGTACTCTGACATACATGGGGTCATCATGAGTCAACTAGATACATTCCAAAAAGCTTAATACCCACTTTATATTTTACTACAAAATCTTTTAAGGGTTGTTGTTGCTCAGTGCCGTCGAGTCGGTTCTGACCCCTAGCGACTTGTATTGGGTTTCCAAGGAGCAGTTGGTGAGCTTAAGCCATTGACCTTGCAAACCAACTTTGAAGTGCAGTGCATTAAACCACAGCACAATAACAGGACTCCTTGTAAGGGTAGAAAAAAACAAATAATTAAACTTGTTAGAAGTCTATCTAAAATGAGATATATTCTTACATATATATGTAAGTTTTGCACAAAGACTATTTTTAGTATCACTTTGATTCCAAAAAAGTCTTTTTTGCTTATTTCCAGATTTTCTGATATGCTCTGCATGGTTCATTGGCAGGCATTATCACCTGGAAAAGTACGAGCATTACTATAATAAGCTCCTACAAGATGTTTGGCGCCCTGGTGGTGCTATAAGGTAAGACTGGACTGCTAACTACAGGTCGGCAGTTCAAACTCACCCACAGGTAGCAAACAAGGCTTTCTGCTCCAATAACAATTTGTTGATGATGATGTTCTTAAGTGCCTTAGAGTCAGTTATGACTCACAGAGACCCTGTAAAGAGTTTCCATGGAGCAGCTAGGGGGTTTGAATCATCAACAACCTTGCAACCAGGATTCCAATAGCTCAGAAACCCTACACAGGATCAGTGAGTCAAAACCAACTCAATGGCAGTGGGTTAAGGTATGTTTAAAACATATTTTAAATCACTTAAAAATTTTGGGAAAAAATGGACTATATTGATGTTACCTAATTATTTTTAAATTACGCTATAATTATGTTGACTACATGATAAACGGAGTGCTGGTGTGGCACTATAGGATAAGCACTGGACTGCTAACCACAAGGTTAATGGTTCAAACAACCCAGCCACTTACTGGAAACCCTATACAGGGTTGTTATGAGTCGAAATGACTCAACATCACTCAACAACAATATGATACTTTCGTCACTTTCTGAAATGTGAGGTATGAGCTTACTTTCTACTCAATGGAAATAAAACAAAGTCTCTAAAGAAAAATTGCCATTGAGATTTACTAGAGAAATCCTGAAGCATCACAGATATAGAGTCTGTGATGACTTAGGATGTGAGGAGTCAGATCTACTACGTGGAGATCTGTTTGGTAGATGTTTCAGCAGCTAAATCAAAAATTTTGCTTGCACATAGAGTAAATGTATTTCTAAAATAAAAACAATCCCATTAGGGTAAAATAAATTGTAGTATTTACCTTAACTTACAAGTAAGTCTATTAGAAATTTAGAATATGAGTTCAAAGGTCACAGTCAAAAATTGCTACATAAAGAAAAGCCAAGATTCATTTCCAACTAGTTATTTCCTAATAATAAAAAATTGATATAAATACATTTTGGACCCTTTTTACCCAAGTTTCACCTAAAAATGGGATAATTCCTACCTAATAGAGTTGTTTGGGGGACAAAATGATAAAACAGTATCTAATCTGGCATACAGTTTTACTATTCTGCAAACAAATACATCAAAGGAAACGGTCTTCAAAGCTTACAAATTGCTTTAAAAAGTAACATGGTTTGCCAGTAATAAAGTTTACCAAATAGAAAGACACTTAACATCAGCACCACCTTTAATTAATAAGATACCTGTTTAATAACTGACTGTCAGTGGCTCCGTAGGATAATCACTGCTCTGCGAACCACAAAGTCCTCGGCTTGAGCTCACCAATTGCTCCACAGGAGAAATATGAGGCTCTCTGCTCTTGCTAAAGTTTTTAAGCCTCGAAAACCCTACACAGGGTCACTATGAGCTGAAACCAATTCCATGGCAGTTAACAACAGAAAATAAATCATCTTAATAAATTTTAAAACCTTCTATTAAAAACTACAGTCCTGGTGTGGTGCTGTACAATAAAGCACTAAACTGATAACTACACAGTCAGAGGTTCCAATCCACCAACTGCTCCTTGGAAACCCTATACAAGGTCACTATGAGTTGAAATTGACTCAACAGCACTTAACAACAACATAAAGAACTCCAAGATGTTTTGGTGGCACTGTAGGCTAAGCACTGGACTTCATATCCCAAGACTTGTAGTCCAAACCCACTAGCAGCTCTGAGGGAGAAAGAAGCTTCCTGATACATTAAAGGTTTACAGCCCCAAAAACCCTATCTAGGGCAGCTCTGAGTCAAAATGGACTTTATTGGCAGTGTGTTTGGTTGATGATAAACTACAGATAAGTTAATAAATAATAAACTAAAGTAATAATGAGTTCCAATTTTGTTGACTTATTACCTTAATTAATAGATATGCATATAGATTTTTAAAATTAATTACACAGTAGAATCATTCTGTATTACTGTCCTATAATACTTTGAAAGTTTTGAAACTGTTTTCTAAAACACTTGGATCCTTTTAATCTTCTGATCTCTTCTAGGCAATAAAAACTGAAACTAACACTATAATAGCCCAAGTGTCAGAAACCTAGGACACTGTCCATGTTTTATTCATCTTTGTGTAAATAGTTTAGCAAAGAATCTAAGTTAACTGTTAAAGCAATAAAGTTTAATGAATACATTAATCAACAAAACAAGGCTAATATTTTGTCTATTTTAAGAATTGTTCTTACCTTATTGGTCAGATTTGAAATAAATTCCAAATATCTCAGTCTTTAAAATTACTTTTCTACATTGTTTGCAAGAGAAAAGGAGTTTTTGAACTTCAAAAGCTAAAAAGCAAACTAGTATTAAAAGTAAATTTCATACATAGTAAACGTTAACTTCTGAATATGAATTAGAAAGCTCTTACGTTGTGGGGATTTTTCTTTTCTACCAATTTTTCTTTTAAATCTATGAATCGTTTTGGGTGGCTCTATAGAATAAGCACTAAACTGCAAGGTCGGTTTGAATCTCAAGGTTTATGGTTCAAGCTCACCAACCGCTCCTTGAAAACCCTATATAGGATGTTATGAGAAGGAACCCACCCAATGGAACACAACCACCAGCCACATGAATAATATAAGGAGCCCTGGTTTTTGTTTTTTAAGTGCAGTCGAGTGGGTTTCGACTCATAACAACCGGGTATGGGGTTTCCAAGGAATGGCTGCTGAGTTTGAACAGCCGACCTTGGGGTTCAAACCGACCTTGCGGTCCAGCACCACACCAGGGCGCCTGGTAGCATAGTGGATTACAGGGCTGGGCTGTTAACAGCAAGGTCAGTAGTTCGAATCTACCAGTCCCTCCGCCCATAAAGATGTGCAGCCTTGGAAACCCTATACAGGGTCGCTATGAATCGGAACCCACTCGGTGGCCCACAACCACCACCATGAATAATAACAGTGGCTCATGAAAGGAAATCGTCACAGAAGCCACTGCTCATTCTAAAATCAGATATTAATTTTACTAATACCATTTTTTAAAATCTGAAATGATTCAAATAAAGTATGTGTGTAGTGCTTGCTGTCTAAAAAATCCAATCTAGCCCTGCATGGCCATGGTCATTAATCTTGAATCGAGTGCTCTCACCGACTGGAGGATTTGAACAAATAAAACGCAGGGTGAAGAATCAATGGGAGTAAACTACGGGGGAGGGGAGGGAAGGGATCGAAGAGGATTTGTGGAAAGAGGAGAGAAGGTTGCTTGGGCCTGTTAACGAAGACCCCCTCAAGGGGAGTAAACGGGGTTCATTTTGCTATTAGCCTGGACTGGGGAATGGGAAGAGAGGCAACTATCAGCAGGAATCTTCTCGGAGTGGAGAAGGGTGCGTCACTTACGTGGCGGCTTCGAGAAGCAGAAATATGGACCTCGGGGCAACATCAATATAGGACTGTGAAGGAAGGGGGAGTGACCTTCCCAACAAGCATGACGGACTAAATATTGGGTCTCTCCCACAGGTTGAGGGGTAAGATGTTCCCGTAGGTCTTCTCCAATCATGGAGGAGTACGGAGAAGGCGGGTTTGTAGTGGAAAACCCTGGGCTGATGTGTGGGCGTTACCTGCAGGGTCACCTCCTGGGGGTCCCAGTGTGGTCGCAGGTGTTGCAGGAGGCTCAAGGCCCCCTCCCGACAACGCTGCTCCTCCTGATCCTGAACCGTGACATTGAGCTTGGGCACCTCCGGGGAGCCAGGCGGGACGTGGATGTAATTGGCCATGGCCCAGGCGACGGCGGAGACTACCACAACGACGACGGCAACGGCGACCACGAAAACGGCGGGCGCCGACAGGCTGCTGGATCCTTCCGTCCCGGGGCGCCCTCACGAGAGGGCTAGGCCAGGCGCTCAGACTGGGGAGCGAGCTGTGGAAAAAAGCTGGAGCCGACACTCTCCCGAACCCGGGTCTGGACAGCAACTGAACTGAACCGGGGCAGCACACTGAGAAAATTCCTCTCCCTGTGCTCCACCACCGGCCGCCGCACAGCATGCCGGGACTGGCCTGACGCTAGCGTCACACGTGGGGCGGGGCGTCCGCTTGCGTCGGGAGCAAAGACTGAGTTTTAGCCCCCGGCACAATGGGCTAGCGCGTTTGCACTTGGTTACTCTCCCGTTACCTAGCATTCTGCCCTTTGCACTGCTAATGTGAAGAGCACAAGGCTCTTCCTGAAGAATGAGTCTGATCCGTGACTGAGACCTGCAAAGCGTTGAAGCTTTAACCCACCTGATTAGGAGGGATGTGGGGTTCTGGGCTTGAGTTAGGGCTGATTTTTTTCTGGGTGATAAGGGACAGGTCCTGAAATAATCCAGAGATAAGCCAATATGGACTTGGTCTGAGACTTCACGCTAGATTGACTGGGTCCCGTTGCTCCCGGATATACTATGTACTCTGGACCATGAAGTTCGGTTGGCGACTAAATTCCCGTTAACAGCATATTGAGAGATCATGGTATCTGGGACATATTCAGTTATTTGATAAGACAACAATACTTAAAGACACTTTGAAAATCAGCTGTTTGACTATACTGAGAATTAGGCAAGGCCAACAGGAACAGATGAGAATTTCCGATGAAGATGAAAAGGAAGACAGATTTGATGCTCAGAGCTAGAGTTCATCTATGATGGTGTCAGGGTATCCCTGAGAGGGCCCTAGAGGCTCACCACCAGTACCTTAAAACCTATAGTTACAATTTCTCATGGCAGCTATTTCCCCTGTTAAGGGAATGCTGGAAGCTAGATAAATTGAGAACCCTTTTTATAGAGAGAGTCCTGGTGTGGCATTGTAGAATGAACAATAGATTGCAAGGACTGTTAGAACTGCAAGGTTAACCGTTTGAACTCACCAGTTGTTCCTCGAAAACCCAATACAGGGTCGTTGTGAGTCAGAACCAACTCGACGACATTTAACAACAACAATTTTATAGGACTCCATATGGTAAGTACTGGACTGCAGATCACAAAGTCAGTGGTTCGAGTTTGCCAACAACTCTGCGTGAGAAAGATGAGACTTTCTGCTCCTGTGAGGATTTTAAAGCCTCTGAAACTCTATTTAGGGTCGCTATGAGTCAGAACAACGCCACAGCATTTAACAATTTTATAGAGGAAAATGGACTAAAACTTCATCTCTTAAATTGTCTTTCCTGCAGTGCTTAAACCCAAAATCAAATCCATTGCCCTAGTTGATTTCTACTCATAGTCACCCTCTAAAATAAAATAAAAGTACCCCATAGGGTTTCCAAGACTGTAATCTTTACAGGAGCAGACTGCCACAGTGGATGGTGGGTTGAGTGAATAGTAGCTTTGAACAGTTGGCCTTTCTGTTATCACTCAAGTGGTTAACCACTGTGCCACCTGGGCTGTCTGCATTGTTTAAGCCTAATCAAACCCAAGAGATTGTGGCCTAACAAATTCCAACAGAAAGAAACTACATAGGACTGAATAAAACTGCCCCATTGGGTTTCCAAGATTATGAGTCAGAATTGACTTGATGGCAAGTTTGGGGTTTTAGCTATAATCTTTACAAAAGCAGATTACCACATCTTTCTTCCAAGGAGAGACTGGTGAACTGTTCACCTTTCGGGTTAGTAGCTGAGTGCTTAAACCACTGTACCACCAGAGATCATTATGCAGCACTTAAAAAAAAAAAACCACACACACTGTCATAGAGTCAATTCTGACTCATAATGACCCTTATATAGGGCAGATTAAAACTGCTCCTTAGGTCTTCTGAGACTGTAAACATTTACAGGAACAGTCTCATCTTTCTCTTGCAGAGTCAATGGTGGGTTTTAACCACTGATTTTTGTGGTTAGCAGCCCAACGCCTAGCCAACAGTATCACTAGGGCACACACTAAGTACATGCTTAATCCTGTTCAGTTATCCTTTAAAACTATAACAACCTCAAATAAGAATAGCCCTCCATGAGAATTGTATGCCTAACCACCACACAGAGTTGAACTTTCCTGCCTGGTCACTTTCTAGGCCACTGGCCAGACCACTGGTTGCATTTGGGTTTGGAAAAATCCTTAGCCACAGGAGGCCAGTAAAACTGCCCAGCACCTTTCACCATCTATCTAGAGAATATAAACTGGTTATGATATAAAATCATGATGAAGAATCCAACACATTTTAGGTCTGCTTTCTGTATTTAGCATGACATCTTGGCATTCTAGCACCTAGTTTTACCTGCCTTCCTATCTCTGTCCTTGAAATTCCACTCATTCTTCAGAGCTTACTCTCCTACAAACCCCTTGATTGGGTCTTTCTGAATTTTCTTAGTTCAAATCGAAATCTCCCTTTTATACATCTGTTGTTGTTGTTAAGTGCCAGTGAGTCTGTTCTTATTCATAGTGACCCTGTATAGGATTTCCAAGTTACTGGTGAGATTGAACCACCAACCTTGTGGTTAGCAGTCAATTGCTTATCCTATAGCACCACACCAGGACTCCATCTGTTAGAACATCTCTTAGAACACCCAATAAGTTTTGCCTAATGAAATCCACATTTTAGATTAAAGTCATAAGATTTCATTGCAAAAATTGTATTTATGTTAAGATTGATTTCAGAATGCATTTCAGTAATTTGTCACAGATAAAAGCTTAATAAAACCAGTTATATCTTGTCACATAATGAGTATTTTGTATGAAGGAATGAAAAGATCACTGAATAGAAACCCCGGGCTCTGGTCATAAATGTTTTAATTACAATGGAGTTGGTTTTAGTTACCAGAAAAACAACCTAAAGAATTTCCAGAAGAAAAGATTTCTGTGAAACAAGATCTCATGGACCTGTCAAGCAGCTAGACCATCCACCAAACTGAAACCATGTTTAAAATGAAATGACTTTTCCACATCTAAGAATCAGAATTAATGTCTTTGGAGAATGAACTGAAAAATCCAAGAATCCAAAACTCATGTGATACTGGTATTCAAAGACATACATTTCACCTCATCAGCATCATTCCCCAACACACATACACAAAGACAAAAGAAAGATATTAAGGTGCTTAGATTATCGGAGATGCTACATCAGATGAGACTGCACCTGTTAAGCAGTTCACAATTTAAAGATAGCCTGAGGGACTTGACCGTCCACTATAAACTGCAATGACCGCATTAAATAGCGAATGCTAGCTACGTGTGCTCTATTATATGAACTAATATTTAATTCTATAAAACATGTTTATTAGTACTTGTTCTAACTTGCCTCCTTCTAGCCTTACTACATCAGATTATAACTCTATTTCATGTATTAGGGTACTTCTTTGAGAACAGGAATCCCTTCCTTTTCATTTCAGAATGTGTCTTAAATATTGTAAATTACTATTATGGATTTGATTAGATGAAGAAATGTATCAAATGATCCCTAATTTTACTAATTTAATTTTGTTAAAATCCTTATATGAGTGATGAAAGAGAATATACCTTACCAAATATTAAATCACATTGTAAAGCCATATTAATTTAAAATGTGAGGTTGGCACAGGAATATACAGATAATAAAAAGACAGATCCAAATATAAGTGGATATTATTTAAATCAATGGAGAAAGTGGGCTATTATAAAATGTTGAAATAGTATTTTTCATATGACTTGATAAACTTGGTTTAACAATCAGTATTTAAATAATATTAATAAAGACCTCACAGGCACCAATCAGTACCAATCACATTTTTTTTTTTTTAATTTCACAACTACTTCTATTTACTCATTTCAGACTCATAGTGATTGTTGCAGTTAAATGTCATCTAGTCAGTTACAATTTATAGTAACCCTGTATAGGGTGGAGCAGTTAGCAATCCAATGCTTGTCCTCTAGCACCACACCATATAGATTGTTGTTGTTGTTAAGTGCCGTTGAGTTGATTCCAACTCATAGTGACCCTGTATAGGGTTTCTGAGGAACGGTTGGTGAGTTTGAACTGCCAACCTTACTGTTCAACCTGACGTTGCAGTTCAGCACATTATACCACAGCGCCACACCAGGAGTCCCACCATATAGATTGTTGTTGTTGTTAAGTGCCGTTGAGTCGATTCCGACCCATAGCGACCCTGTACAGGGTTTCCGAGGGTGTAAATCTTTACGGGAGTAGAAAGCCTCATCTTTCTCCCGCGAAGCGGCTGGTAGTTTCGAACCGCTGACCTTAAGGTTCGTAGCCCGATTCGTAACCACTACGCTACCAGAGCTCGGTCCATATAGATAGCAGGAGCAAAAAATAACACAGATTTTTAGTCTACTTACATAATGTGCTAGTTCATTTTCCCCAGGATTTAGCTAATGACTGGCATTTAGTAAATGCTTAAGAATTATATGTCACATGATAAAACAAATGACAATCTAAATATGTTCTGTATTGGGTTTTTTCTCACTCCTAAAGTGTACTGAATAGAAGAACCAATCTATATTGTGTGGCTGCATTTGTAACTTTTTTCTAAATGTTCCTATGTATTTTAGCACTGATTCTTAAACTTCTGATCTCTCTAATATTATGTAGCTCTGGTGCTTCATAAAGGGTATTTGGAATACTGTAATATTTTGAAATTTTGAAAGATTTCAAAGATGTTACATGTGTGTTCAAACTACAAAGGGCCAAAGCCTGCTACTTGTGTGCTTGTTGTTAAGTGCTATCAAGTCAGTTTTGACTCATAGCAACCCTGTATAGGGTTTCCAAGGAATGGCTGGTGAGTTTGAACTGCCACCTTGAGGTTCAAATCGACCTTGTGGTCCAGTGCTTATCCTACAGCACCACAGCAGGACTCCATTTCTGTGCATACAGTATATGAAAACAACCATCAAGCAAAGGTCACTTTGCCAGTTTCAAATTCTCTCAATCATGCTCCAAAGGATCCATTGTTGCCTCTTTTTTCTTTAGAGCATATTATTCAGAGTCGAGAGAGACGTTGAAGAGTATTAAAAGGAT